GATTTGCAGGGAGAGGTGTGCGGTGGGGGCAGGGCAACATGCTTGCGAGCGCGTCGCTCGCTCACTCCCACACACACAACCCACACACACGTGGACATGCACACTCCTCCGTGCCGTGTTGTGGGAAACCATCTTCCAGAACATCAACATACAACTCTGACATTCAAACGAATTTCTGGTGTGTGCTGTGATGCCACCCGAGCAGCGAACCCACACACGCACCCAACATCCAAACGCCCCCCCACCACCCCCTCAAAACAACAACAGGGTGACCTGTGGGGCCTGTCCACCGTGGTGCTCTCCTTCCTGGACTGGCCCCTGCGCCGCGCGCTGCCCGGACTGGCCTGCCTCTCCCAGGCGCGCCCCTGCAAGCCCGGCAGCCACGCATACGACGAGAAGATTGCCGCGGAGATCTGGGACGTGTCCGCCGAGTACGCGGGGCTGCCCAAGGCGCCCCAGATCTGAGAGATCTGGCAGATCTGGGAGGTTTGAGGTCCGGGGGCGAGGAACGGCCGGCTTTCCCTGCTTTCGCGCGCATGCGTGTGATGTTTTCGGCTGATGGGGCGAGGCGGCACGATGGGGACGGAGGAGTTGGAAGGGGTCATGACTGCATCTATCCGACTGCATTACAAAGGGGGGCGCCACCCCATCGGCGCGCCAACCTCTGCGGCCGCCCTCACGCAAGCAATGGCCGACGAGGATCATGCTCCGGCTGGTCGGCAGGATGAGGGGCGCTCGCAACAACTTGCAATCACCCGCTGTGATGATACGCCTGATCGGGCTCGCACGGCCTCCGAAGGGCTCTTGAGCGCTCGCCGGGGCCGCAGCAGTTTCAGCAGGGGCTGTTGAGGCGTTGGCGTCACCTGTGACGACTGCCGCGGCCCATGTCATCGGAGGGCGGCGCTCCAGGCACACTACATTGAGCAGGCGCTGCTTGCATCCACCACGCCGCCTCGGCTTGTGCACCCTTCAGCAGCCAGCTCCCGCGCCCACAGCTGCCCCTGCCCCCCTGCATCGGCGATCATACACCATAATGCTGTGCCCTTGAGTTTACATGTCAAGGAACGACTGCAAGGGCGGTGCGTAAGCACTTGAGGCGGCCTCGGGCGCCCACAGAGGGCGGGCGCGCCAGGTGTGGAGGCACAAAAAGAGGGGTCCGCGGAGGCAGCCAGGCAGCGATTGCCCAGAGGTCTGTTTTGTGCAGCTCGTTTTCTGTGACAGGGCTGGACAAGCACTTGACAGGGCTGGGCAGGCGAATACGGACATGGGTGGTGTGAGGGGTTGTTGCTGCGCGCGTTGCGGCGCGGCCAAAGGGAAAGGGTGGAGTGTGTGGGAGGCCGCTCCAGCAGAATGGCGCCGGAGGACGGAAGCACAGCTCCTCGGGACAAAATGAAAGGATGCCTCTCAGGTGGATGAATAAGCACGCCTGGGTTTGCTCCCTGTGCAGACACACAAAAAGAAACGCCTCGATGGGCCGGCGCGCCGCGCGCCCATGTCGAAAAACCCAGTGCGAGACGCCCGGCGCGACCCCCACAATGCAGGGGGCGGCCGTGCGCAAGAGCCTGGCAGCACAAGCGGGCACGCAGAGGCGCCACAGCAAGCGGGCAGGGGCAGGAACAGGGGCCGGGGACACTTCAGGGCCACAGGGCCCTCAGTCGGTCTGTGGCTGTCACGAGCTCGTGGGTGACCGCCGGGTCGTACATGCTGTGCCCCGCGCCGCCGATTACCGCGACCTCGGCCTCCGGCCACGCCTCGGAAAGCGCGAACGCCGACGTCGGCGGGCACACGATGTCGGCGCCGCCCTGCACGGCGATGCACACGACCCGGTCCCGCAGGGGCGCCATCAGGGTGTCATCCAATATGGGCGCATCCAATAGGAAGCCGCCGTGCAGGCTGTAGTGCGCGGTCAGCAGCGCGTGCGCCGGCGCGCCCGGCGCGCCCTCGTACGCGAGGCCGCGCCAGATCGCGTCGGAGACTTCGGGGTCCCCGAGGTTGGCGCCCTCCGCCGGCAGGCCCCAGACCCACGGGGCGCGCGCCGCAAGCCGCGCCGCGGCACGCGCGGGGTCGTCCGATAGCACCTGCGGCGGCAGCGCTGCGCCGCGCCGCGGCTCCCGCGCTGGCGCGGCGGCCCGCGAGGG